CAGAATAGGGAGGATGGAGCAGGTTTAAGTTTATTAGATTGATCAGTGTTGCTGAACTATAAAATGTTTTGGGTGGGGTGTATGTATACAGGTGTAACAGAATAGCTTCAGTCTCTTGTTTTTTTAAACTTGAGTATGAACTTATACAAAGTGCAGCAAGATATTTATAAAAAAACAGTTTTATTGATTACCAAATACGCTGTATCGGATTCATATCGGTATCGGCAGATATCCAAATTTATGATATCGGAATCGGTATCGGACATAAAAAAGTGGTATCGTGCCATCTCTAGTTTTTCTATTCTGGTTTATGATTTGGTGTTTTTGGTTTGGGGACATAAATAATCTGAGTTTTTACTAATGTTGGGTTAAGCAGGCATGAGACACTGTTGGAGGGCGGCACAGCTTCAGTGTCTGAGGTGGAGCTGTGAAAGACGGGATAACGTCATCAAAAATATCTAAACCTCAGTCAAAATGTTTGATGGCTGAAATGGGACAAACTCCATGATGTAAACTTATTTACATGTGAATCCCAGCTCACGTGGGCCAGTCCTGTTGCCCTCTTGCTCTGCATTGCCCAGGTCTGCTTTAGAAAGTTAAACATTAAAGTAAAATGAAAAATAGAAGACAGACAGTGATTACATTAAGTGACAGCACGTTTCTGAAAGGTTGTTTCAGAGCAGAGGGGCCAAAAGCACGGCCTCCTTTACATCAGTCAGTAAAACTCCAGCATGTCTGAAAGAATCAAAGCCTCGGAGGCATCGCTGAGCAACACATGTCCTTTAAGAGAGAGAAGGCAAATAAAATCTGCCTTCTGTCATCTGTGCAGTGTTGCTGCAGTTACAGACATATGAACACAATCACAGAGGGATGCTACATTTCTCCACTATTAACTTCTGCAAATGCTTTTCCTCACATGAATGCACAACTTAACGACCTTCTGCTGGGATCTGAAGAGACCGTGTTTGTGAAGTGTTGAGTTGATGTGTGTTTGTGACGTTGTGCTCTGCTGCAGCTGGAGGATGAGGAGGAGCCGTTCGTACTGGAGGACACCTGCATCCTAAACACAGACAACATGGATGCTCACTCCTGTGAGACCTCCTCTCTGGCCAGCTCTGACAGCGGAGACCCATCACACCTGAAACGGCATGTGCACACACACACACACACACACACACACACACACACTAATATAAAACGTATTCTTACATTTTTATGTAGAGAAAAAAGAAAAGTGATGATCTGAAGAATCAGACTAAAATCAATACATGCAAATATTTCAGTTTGTCAGTAACTTTAATTTGCAATTAGTCCAAATTTAAATGCTTTATGTAGAAGCTTTATTTATTTTATTTAGGAGTATAAATTAGAGGTGTGTCTCTTGAGTGTGTTGGGTACTGCTTTGTAGTTGCTGCTGTAACAGAAAAGGAAACAACGTTGTTCTGATTTTTATTTATTAGTCCTTTATTTATCCAGGTAAAAAATCTCATTGAG